TGGTTAGGAGTCTTTTCCGGCTGTCTTGCACCATCCGCTGTCCCTACAGCAGGAATGACCTCTGGGTTTCCACACTCATTTCCGTACACCGATTATTTATCATTTTGAAACCATTTTCCAAAAGACTTACGATCATTGTCTAGAAAACAGTTGCCTTCGTCTCCGTACCCGTAACCTCAGGTATCTACGTACTATGCTACCTGACTCTTAGAGGAGTTAGGACAGAAAATACACACAGCGTTTTAACCTGGTGTTGAATATAGTATGGCCCTGCGCTCAATATCGATGGGAGAAGCAGAACGCTGAAAATCCGTGTTGTCAAAAATGCAGTGCATCTCAATTATCCATCCTGACATTTTCAACAGGGTCATCTCCCACTCCCAACATGCACTCAACTCTGAGCTTGGAACACTCTGATTCCTCAGCTGTACAGTCGTCTATATGCTTTCAACTATGAGTTTCCTTCCACCTTGTTTCTCTGTGAATCTATAGCTCCTCCTTCTACCTCTAGGAGGGCTTCCTCACTTTCTAATGTGCAGTTAATACTCCCTGCTATTTTTTCAGAAATGTTACGAACTCATTCTTTTAAAGAGCGCTTTCAATCATTTCCGGGCAGTTGGGTCAAAAAGCAATGTAAACACGTGTGTCCTATTTTGTTTTGTTGATCAAATCTCATGCACGATGATTGTTAATGGTTATACGAAATGACTGAAGAAAAAAATCGTTCTCAAGTTTTCATTATTTGAAAAAGCTCTTAAAGGAATTCATAAGAATATATATTGACTTTTGTTTTGTTGTCTAAACTTAATTCTGCTTTTACTGAATATTTTATTGTCAGAATAATGGTAGCTTTATAAAAACAAATGCAAGTTTTTCCCTTTCTCTATGCTGTAGAAGCGTCTAAATAGCATAATGGTCTATTCTTCAAAGGTTGAAAAGAACTAAATTTAAAAACATGTGGAACTGTCTTTTTTTTCTGTAATTTTCTGTGTTTTTTTTCTTTTTTAATTTTTGTTTTTATTTTAGCTTTGTTATGAAGTTTATTGTCAAATTGGTTTCCATACAACACCCAGGGCTCATCCCAACAGGTGCCCTCCTCCATGCCCATCACCCACTTTCCCCTCCCACCCTCCCCCCATCAACCCTCAGTTTATTCTCAGTTTTTAAGAGTCTCTTATGGTTTGCCTCCTTCCCTCTCTGTAACTTTTTTTTCCCCCTTCCTCTCCCCCAGGGTCTTCTGTTAAGTTTCTCAGGATCCACATAAGAGTGAAAACATATAGTATCTGTCTTTCTAACAGAGGTAATTTTTTAGTAACATTGTCATTTTCATCCATGAGTGTTGGTCTATTTGTGACAATAATATATTCTTGGTTCAGTTGTGTTCATTTATATTTTATTAAAAGTCTGTTTCATTCAGAATTTAAAATTAGTTGGCATACAGTTGCATTATATATGTTTAATACGTTTTATTTTATCAATCACGATTTCTTTGTTAATTAGGTTAGCCTATTGTTTATTTATTTACTCAATGCAAATAGTCTTGGTTATATTTAAAATTTTTTAATTTTTATTCTAATTTTAGCTTTTTATTTTTGCCATTTCTATTGTTTACTTTGTTGTTCTTTTGCTGTCTTCTTGAATTTAATATTTATTTCACTTATTTTTCCAATATCTTACTTAGTAAATAAAATTATTTAATTCCATGAACTTTTATAAGTAAAATGTTGGTCAGATCCATAGATTTTAATATGTAGCATTCCCATTTTTGTAAATTCCTGAGTAGTTTATGATTTCACATTGAATTAAATGATGTGTGGCAAATGCTTAGTAAGTGTTACCTATTATTATTATCAGTCTAGGCTAGGAAAGGTAGAGACACTAACATAATTGTGGAATATGTATTTATAGAGAGTGAACATGAGATTAAAATATGGACCAACATCATAATAGTGCAATCAGAATTTTTAGAGAAGTCTACGCAAAGTTTAATTCTTCCCAAAGACACTTGTGCTTATTTGCTCATTATGCCATCGGAATGCTTAGTGGATTCAGCAGACTCATCACTTCCACTTCACCTCTGGACCAGAGGAACCCAGTGCAATTCACTTACCGTCTCAGCACAAGTTAACCATTCTGACAATATTCGTCTCTCCTGGTAAGCCTATCCTTGGGAAACTGAAGCTTGAGAAGAATCTTCTTTCTTCACATTCAGAGAGCTTAGCACTTCTCAAGAAAGAGAAATGTCGTTCTTGGAAGAACTCAAGTATGAAATGTACATCTCACTACAAGGGCAATGGGAAAATCGGGGAGGGGGGATTAAGCCACACGATCTAATTTATATTTTTCAAAGATCTCTGACTGTCATGAGGAGACCTGATACGGGATGTGGTAGAATGCAGTGGGAGAGCGTGAAAGTCCTCCAGGAGAGAGAGATCGCTGCCTGAACGTGAGTCTTGGGGTAGAGATTATGGAAAAAGCCACATTCGGGGTTTATTTTGAAGGCAGAGCCGATTGCACTAGCTAATGGGCACTGAGGAAAGATGAGTGGGCTGTAAAGAATGACTTCTAGGGGCGCCTGGGTGGTGCAGTCGGTTAAGCGTCCGACTTCAGCTCAGGTCACGATCTCGCGGTCCGTGAGTTCGAGCCCCGCGTCGGGCTCTGGGCTGATGGCTCCGAGCCTGGAGCCTGTTTCCGATTCTGTGTCTTTCTCTCTCTCTGCCCCTCGCCCGTTCATGCTCTGTCTCTCTCTCTGTCCCAAAAATAAATTAAATAAATAAATAAATATGTTTTTTTAAAAAAAAGAATGACTTCTATATTTTTGAACAATGCCTGAAACAACTGTCGTTAACTGAGAAAAGATTGGAGGAGGACAGGTTTTAGGACCTGGAAATCAGGAATTGTATTTGGGACATGGTAAGTAAAACCCACATATTAGAAGGCAAGTGGATTGCTTGATAATTTCAGTTCCTCTTAAGGTGCCTAAGCTTCTGCCATGGTCTTGCTCATTGGTTCAAACCTGCCCTTCCTAGGTGGTAGTCTTCTCTTCCTCTGTGTCTGTTGTGTCTGATGAGTTCATAGACAATATTTACTTTTTCGTCACACACTGATCTATTTTACTCATTGCTGACACTAAAGCTTAGTGAAAGGACCTGAGCTAAGTGATATTTTGAAAAATCATCTGCTCTCTTTCACTTCGAAGCTCAAGAGAAGGCTGCCTTCCAGCAGGACTACCCTTTCGCAGCCACCCACACAATGTGAGTAAGTGTGCCTGGCACTCTCCCCTCTGTGCCTTATCTCTGACCCTCCTATTCTGCCCGAAGATCTACCATCAACCTCTTTACCAGAATTGCTCACCTCCAGTTTCCCTTCCCAAATGGTGTCTGGAGAAACCAGAGGCAGTCATCCCAATAACCCAAGGGGACCTATTAGACCCAAGAAACTACTCCTTTCCTCCCACGAACCACTGCACTTCCCCACATAGCCAGAGAAGAATTGCCAACCAGTTATATATTCCCCTTTCTAGAACATAACCATAGTAATGCCAGGAAAAGAAACTAACCTGCCGAGTCACCTTGCAAGGGCAACATTATCTGGGAAACCTTCTTGTAATATTATCTGCAACCATTTCAAAAGGCCAGACCTAGGCACTCATATGCGTGACACACAATCCACTCATCTGTATCCATCAAGGAGCCTGTCTTTTAGGATTTGGGGCCGCATGGTCCTCCCTGTGTTACCCCAACCAAACCATCCTCAGATTACCACTAGCCCTGCACAAAAACCAAACGATAACTAAGACTTATACTGGTTCTGAAATAAGTGTCAGCTAATGATCCTGGCTAATCATGATCATCAACAACAAAAAAAAAAAAAAAAAAAAAAAAAAAAAAAGAGGAGCAAGCAACTTCTAAATATAACAAAATAATCAGCAGCTGGAGAGAGGAAGGCAGGTAACTGGAAAGGCTTCTTGGAGACACCATAATACCTCGTTGCCAAATTAAAAAAGTAAAAGGAAACAACCCTAGCACAGAGTAGGATAGCCCCTGATTTAGAGGATCAAATTAAGGAATTCCTCCAAAATGTGTAACACCAACAACCACTAGGTATAAGAGGGAAAATAAGCACAGGGAGGGATTGATTCAGGAGATGAACTATCAACAAATATGTTGCAGAAGAAGAATGGGAAGAAATGAGTGACAGAACATTGCCGAGAAAATTCCCTGTATTCAAGAACAATTTGAGAAAATAGCATAGCATAGCACAGAAACTGACTGAATAACAGAAGATCAGTGCAACACAATTGAGGCTTTGAAGGAGTATGACTACCTTGTTGGAGTACATAATTGTCGCCACTAAATCGTTCGTGGCGGGGGGGGGGGGAGTTCAAATTATTTCCTAAATGAAATAAAACCCAAATGGAATCTTACAGAAGATTTTAGAAAAAAGAAACAGCATGGAAGAAGTCCTAGAGACAAAAAATGGCATGAACTGTGTATTCATTTTGTTCTGATCTGGAACTCCCATGGTGGATTCTGTGCCCACCTTTGTTCTCACGAAATAATGTGACTCCCAAGGATATTAATTAGAATAGGAAGTTTTAGGTCACCTGTCTTCTGTGACACCAAGACTTTCCTATGAGAGCCAGATCTTGGATCTAGATGATCTTGAATGATCTGTAGGGGTCCAAATAGGCTGAGGGTATTCGTCTGCCATCCATGTGTGCTCAAGTGTGTGTTTCCCTCACACATTTTAAAGAAATGATCTCCATATCATCAAAAAGTTTAGCTACATCTTTCAGACATAGGTGCACACGCATCATGATGAAGTCTGGATCATGATAGTAACCAAAGATAGCAACCATCTTCACTTTTGGCTAAAGGATCACTGCCAACACACACACACGCGCGCGCACACGCGCGCGCACACACACACACAAACACACACACACACACACACACACACACACACACAACATGCATGCATGAACACAATGGAAGAACAGAGAAAGAGTCTCACCAGACTGAAAATCCAACAATGACAGAACAATTCTAATATCTGTGTAGTATCTGTGCTGATTGCTTGGACACTATTCCTTCAAAAACTTTGCCCAAGTCACATGCACCTTTTAGAAATGAGACACTAACAACATCCTACCCACCCTATCCTGCTGGGCTAAGTCCCAAAGAAACAGGGGATTCAGTTGACTTGAAGTGAGCAAACTATAACCTAGTCTATCCAGTGATAAGGCCCATCCAGTATGGAACACACAGATGCTATTGTTCTGTTCATCTTTGTAAAGGAAGCTGTCCAGTTTCTCCCAGCACGGAGTTGGGAACCACTCCAGAACTGCCTCCAAGATGCTGTTGGTCCTGTTCTCAGTGGCCTTACTGACCCGGAGCTTGGCTCGGAGCACAAATGACGGAAAAATTAAAAGGTGGGGGGTGGGGGATGCTGTAACCCAGCTGCAGGCTTGGGAGACAACAGTGGGGAAGCAGGAGGGGGTGGGAAGGGGGGGGAATGAAAAAAGATGGGGCTGCAGAGTTCTGAAGACAGGGATAAGACCAGTCATGTCTTCATTTATGCCAAGGTCTTATGCTTTATTTAGAGCAGAATTGAGACTCAATGAAGAATTTCACCTGAGGAAGGACAAGATAACATGTGCTTTTCTAGAGAGGTCTCTCTGACTGTGCCATGAAGAACACCTTGGAGGATGGCGAGATGGGTACAGGGAAGCTCAGTCATGAAGAAATTACGGAGATCAAAGTAGACAGCAGCTGGAGGTGGCCTTGCTAGGGGATGCCGTGCAGAGGAAGGAGATAATGTACTCAGAGCTGTCTCAGAGATAGAGAATAGGATGTGAAATTTCTCTCTCTCCGGAGAAACATAGAGATACCAGAACCCCATGTTCTCACTTTTCTCCCACCCACATTTAATATTTCAGTGTGCCATGATTGCACCCAAATGTTTCTTCCTGGTCACTCCCCTTGAGGAAGCGTGTTAATATAAAGTAAAGTGTTTAATGAAGAAGGAATGCAGAAGAATACTAGAATATGACGTCAAAATTCCACAACACTTAACCTAAATTAGCAGTAGAGTTTGAGGGATCCTAGGCAAGACAAGAAAGAGCCTCACTTAATTTTGAATTTGTGGTTGATATTTAAGACAGTGGCAGTTCTGTCCCCCACCTTCACATCTTGTTTTCCTATTCAGTTTTTTTTGTCAATATTTTATTTAATTTTTTTCATGTCTGTTTTTGAGGCAGAGAGACAGAGTATGAACAGGGGAGGGGCAGAGACAGAAGGAGACACAGCATCCAAAGCAGGTTCCAGGCTCTGCACTGTCAGCACAGAGCCCAATGTGGGGCTTGAACCCACGAACTGTGAGATCAGGACCAGAGCCAAAGTTGGACACTCAACCGACTGAGTCACCCAGGCACCCCATCCTATTGCTCAGTTTTAAGAGTTCTTTGTCCATTTGGGATGACAATTCTTTATCAGATGTTTTTTGCGAATATTTCCTCCCAGTTGACAACTCACCTTCTAATTCTCTTGACATCATCTTTTGCAGAGCAAAAGTTTTCATTTTAATGAAGCCCAGCTTCTCAATTATTTCTTTCATGGATTGTATTGTTGGTGTTATATCTAAAAAGCATGCTTTTTTTTTTTAAATCAAAATAGTTCTCACCATGAGATGACCAGCATCTTGGGTTTCACACTCTTGTTAGGCCCCTACCACATTGTGTCAGGATCGGTGTGGGTGACCAAGAGAATATGGCAGATATCACATAAACACTAAGCTTCTTGACATATGTCTTGGTGATGATTTTTGGAATCTGACACCAGTAACAAAAGCAACAAAAGCAAAAAATAAACAAGCAGAACTATATCAAACTTTATCTTTTTTAACATTTATTTATTTTTGAGAGTGAGAGAGAGAGGGGAGTGGGGAGAGAGCAAATGGGGGAGGGACAGAGTGAGGGGGTGATAGAGGATCCAAAGTGGGCTCTGTGCTGACAGCAGATGTGGGGGTCAAACTCATGAACTGTGAGATCATGACCTGAGCTGATGTCGGATGCTTAACCAACTGAGCCACTCAGGCGCCCCCAAACTTTAAAAAAGCTTCTACACAGTAAAGAAAGCCACTGGCAAAATGAAAAAGCAATCTACGGAATGGGAGAAAATCTTTGCAAATAATATATCTGATAAAGAGCTAATATCCAAAATATATAAGGAACTCATACAACCCAATAGCAAAACAAAAACAAAACCAAAAAACAACTCAAGTAAAAAATTAGCAGAAGATCTGGGGTGCCTGGGTGGCTCAGTTAAGCGTCTGACTTCAGCTCAGGTCATGATCTCACAGTTCGTGAGTTCGAGCTCTGCATCGGGCTCTGTGCTGACAGCTTAGAGCCTGGAACCTGCTTCAAATTCTATGTCTCCCTCTCTCTCTGCTCCTCCCCTGCTCATGCTCTGTCTGTCTCTCTTTCAAAAATAAATAAAAACATTAAAAAAAATTTTTTTTAAATAAAAAAATGAGCAGAAGATCTGAATAGACATTTTTCCAAAAAAGACATACAGATGGCCAACAGGTACATGACAAGATGCTCTACATCCTTAATCATCAGGTAAATTCAGATAAAAATCATAATGAGATATTACCTAACACCTGTTAGATGGAAATTACCAAAAAGATAAGAAATAACGACCGTAAATTACTCAGACATAAAAAAGATAAGAAATACTCAACCATAAAAAAGAATTGGGGCCAACATGAATGACCTACAGAGTATCTCGTGCTAAGTGAATAGACAGAAAAAGACATGCCGTATGATCTCTCTTATATATGGAATTTTAAATAAAAGTGTAATTATTTAAAAAAAAAAAAAACCCAAGCTCATATAGGGGCACCTAGGTGGCTCAGTCAGTTAAGTGTCCAACTCTTGGTTTCAGCTCAGGTCATGATCTCAAGGTTCAAGAGTTCAAGCCCTGCATTGGGCTCTGCCCTGACAGTGCAAAGCCTGCTTAGGATTCTCTTTCTCTCTTTCTTTCTGCCCCTCCCCTGCTCGCTTGCTCTCTCTCTTTCTCAAATTAAATAAACTTAAAAAAAAAAAAGCTCACAGATACGGAGAACAGGTTAGTGGTTGCCAGAAGCAGGGGGTGGAGAGTGGGGGGGAATGGGTGAAATGTTATTGGTTTTGTTCTTGTTTAAGTAAAGTTAATTTTAAAAATAGAATGCGGCAGAAATGGGGATATGTCACTTGTGAGAATGAGTTATAGAGGACACTGTGGCTTCATCTTGGTCACTCTCTTTTTTTCTTCAATGTCTCTCTTTTTCTGTCATCACTGGCCTTGAGAGAAGCCAGGTGCCAGGTTACACAGCCCTATGACGAGGCCTTTACAAGTACAGTAAAACCGTGGATTGAGAGTAACTTGTTCTTCAAGTGTTCTGCAAGATGAGCAAAACTTTCTAACAAATTTTAACTTGATAAATGAGCAATGCCTTGCGATGCGAGTAGTATATGATGCCGAATGTCACATGATCACAACCGAACCAATGGTTATGAAATTCACTTTGATATACGAGTGCTTTGGATTAGAAGCATGTTTCTAGAACGAATTATGCTTACAAACCAAGGTTTTACTGTAATTCTCTCACAGATTCCCTAGGTGGTTTCATGGAGGGGAAAGCACCAAGAGGGAAGGAGAAGGAAAGCTCACTCCCAACTCCAACCCTTCACTCTCCACTTGGCCTCTGATAACAACCTCACTCTTCCCCAATTGTCTCTGATGAGGACAGAGGTGGGGTGAATGACAGCAAGGGGACTGCTCCCTCCTAGTAAGCCCTGCAGTGTCCAACTCCAACGGCTGAAGATTATTTGGCGATGACTTCTTTTAGTACAAAAAAGTACTTTGCCTTTGTTTATTGTTAATTCCTATCTTCACCAACGCCAACTCTGCACCTAACATCGCCTGTTCCTTATACTTATATTTCCTTCATTGCAAGACTTTTTGTTTTTCCTAGATTTAATCATTATCTTTTTCCTCATTTATTTGTGTGTCTATTTTTTAAACACCTAAGCCATCCTGCAACCTCTAGCTAAATCTGCAATGTCTCTCTCAATGCAGTTTTCCTCACCCTCACACCTATCAAATAATTTTGTTCTGTCCTGGAAATTTTCTTTGCTCTCTTTTTAGTAGGATGATTAATATCTTGAGTTAATGCCCTCCTCTTTCTTGGTTTTTTTCCCCCTTTGGTGAAGCACATCATGCCATATCTTCTTGCAAATGAATGCATGAGAGGCAAATATTTCGAGATCTTTTTTGTCTGAGAGTGACTTTCATCTACCCTCACACTCAATTGATACTCTGACTGGATATAAAATTCTAGGTTGAAAATTATTTTTACACAGAATGTTTATGACAACTTTCCACTGTTTTCTGACTTCCTCCCTTGTTCCATTATCATGCTGACCCTCAGTTCATTGCAAATGACTGTTCTTCTCACTGAGGTCTTCAGCATCATCTTTTCATCCCTAAAATTGAGTTAGATATATGCTGATGTGGATTGTCTTTTTCATTTATAGTGCTGGGGTCTCAATGTTCCAGGATGGGCCCCCGATCCTGGGTCCTGAAATTTAGAAAGGGTCCCCACACAAACATCAAAACCAAAGGCATTGTTTTTTCTCTTTACTCTCATTAGAAATTATTTTAAAAGCTGAGCAAGTAAGTTTTTGTTTTAAGTGTTTGAGAGAGAAAGAAAATGGGGGAGGGGCAGAAATAGAAAGAGAGAGAGAGAGAGTCCCAAATTGGCCCCATGCTCAATGGGGAGCCAGATGCAGGGTTCAAACCCACAAACCATGAGATCATGACCTGAGCAGAAACCAAGAGTCAGATGCTTAACCAACTGAGCCACCTAGGTGCCCCTCAGCAAGTAAATTTTTGAAAAAAACAAGAATTATGGGACAGGGCACAGGCCCTTCAGGGCTAAGAATGCAGGATTGTGAATGTGTAA